TGTTATGATGTCCTCAAGTTCATCAGTATTCACTATAATATAATAACTTGTAGGGTTGCAGGGGGAGGATGTGGGTTTTTGAGAAATGTCATTCTTTGGGTGCCGAATTCTGCAGGTTATTTCTGTTTTTCCTTAGCCTTGGCACAAGGGTTTTTGCTTTAAAGACTCAGAATTATGTGCCAGACAAGCATTATCATGACTACCTAACCAAAAGGTAAAACAAGAAGAGATAATATAGTTAAAATGTAAAATGTCTCAAAGCATGATTCAATGTAATTCAAATGGCTTAACAAACAAGCCTTTGATTTGCCTCTGAAAAGTCCACTTCAACAGCTGTGTGGCTAGCATAAAATGTCTAATTCATGTTTTATCAGAGAGCTGCAGATCTGAGATCAGTCCAGGCTGGAGAATTTTCAAACGATGTGCCGCAAAAAATTTTAAAACCTGCAATACCTGACTATTTAATCAGGGGCACTGACCTCTTTCTCCTTAGAGTGTCAAAAAAAAAAAAGATAACACAACAACAGCCGTCCGGTGTAAATTAATCAAAATTATACCTATTTTTTTTTTGTCAGATAGACAAATATATATATTTTTAGTGTGCCACAGAATTTTAGTAATTAGTTTATGTGTGCCATGACATGAAAAAATGTTGAAATTGCTGGTCTAGGCCATATCTCCTGCTTTCACGGATGAGGAAACAGATCCCCAAAGTTTACAGCTTGTGGCAAAACCAGGTCTCCTAAACTAAGTACAATGTATTTTCTTTCCAAAGAACTGACCCTACTACCCTACTCCTGCTACAATGTGACAATGATAAAGATGAAAAATATTATGTGCCCTGGCCGGTTTGGCTCAGCGGTTAGAGCTTTGGCCTGTGGTCTGGAGAGACCCGGGTTCAGTTCCCGCTAAGGGCACGTACCTCAGTTGCAGTTTGTCCCCAGCCCTGGTTGGGTAATGTGGGTGGCAACCACTCTATGTGTCCCTTTCACGTTGATGTCTCTCTCTCTCTCTCTCTCTTCCCCTCCCACTTTATCTGAACAAAATATCAAAAAATGTCCTCAGGTGAGGATAAAAAAAAAACAAAAAAGAAAAAGAAAAATATTATGTGAGTTTTCCCTATGTGTCAAATGATGGCTTAAGTACTTCACATGAAAGGGCCATTTAGTCTTCAAATTAGAAATATTATTATCTTTATTTAACATATGAGAACAGAAGCAAAGTGAGAATTATAACTCACCTGACCTTACACAGACGGAAGGTGGTGAAGCCAGAATTTGAACCCAAGCAGTCTGACTTTAGAGCCCACAGCCTCCCATCACTCCAACCAGCCCACTGCAATGCCATGGCACATACTATAGACCTACATGCTTCGAAATCAGAAAGCCTGAAAGCATTTATTGCTATAGCTTTTAATAAATAGCATAACATAAACATAATTGAGCACTGAACATTTCACACCACATAAAACTTCAGGTTTCTGTTTTTCTGTGCTCTTTCAATCTGGGCACTTGTCTCTCTCTCCCTCCCCTGCTCTCTCTGCCCCCCAAGTTTTGAGAGCTGCCTGAAGAGCTCTGATTCAGTATCAATGACGCCATTATTCACTGAGCCTGACAAATTGGTTGGCTTCAAACATTATGTGCTTCCCCTTCTCCATTTCCTCTACTTCCCATCAGAGAATGAATGTTTCTCTCTTAATGTTTCCATTCACAATTAAGAAGGAACTGATATTCTTTTTAATGAAGAGAAAGAAAATAAAATTACCTATCAACTAATGTAGTAGTAACATATTTCCTAGGCAGAGTATTTACAAAGAGTACAAACACACCTGAGAGAATAGCAAGCAAGAATTTATTTTCTGATAAGGTGGTTACAGTATTTGTATAATAATAGGGATATCTAAAGAATAAGGAATTTTCACACCCCGGTTTTGTAAGTAGACTTTGCTCTATTCGCCAAGAGAATCCTATTTCAGGGCTAAATGCAACATAGTATTTGATGTGATCAAACTAAAATTTAGTAGATTTTAGGCTATCAGTACGTTTAAAAATTGGATTTAGCTTTTTAAATATTTCTGAACATACTGTTCATAATGAAAAGGTACAGAAATCTTGAGTATAATACTAGAATTTTATCATCTGTACTAATAAAGTTATTTTTAAAAGTTTGTCCTGCATTCATGGAAATGAGTGATACACTGCAGAAGGCTAGTATGGTCACTATGGGTAATAATGAAGGATGTGATTCTAAGAGATACAGAAAAGAAAGAGGAAAACAATCTTCCATAGCCATTATTTTAACATCACTGCAACAGCCTCCTTTTTTTCTTTTTTCTTTTGGTTCTTATTTTAGTCTAAATTTCTTAGTCTAGCTTTTAAAATGTCCTGTTGTCTGGCTTCACTCAATATGTACAAATGGATCTCCCACTACTTCTCCCAAGATATACCTTCTGCTCGGACTATTTATACACCACACTCTCTCCCACTTCTGCATCTTCGCTTATGAATAAGACAAATGATGTATTGTTTATGGGCACCTTTCATGAATCAGCATGTTAAGTTGCATGTTTAACCCTTGTAAAAGCATAGGACATAATGTAGGAACCATCATTTCCATGTTTTCCATTTTACAGAAAAGAAATTGTATCTCAGAAAGATTAAAGTGTCTAAGAAAAGCAAAGCAGGTGTCCTGAGATTTGAACCCAGCTTTGATTTCTGAGTCCATGTACTTTCTTTGATATCATGCTGCTTCCTCTTACCTGGATACCCTCCCTCTATACTGCCCTTTGGCTAAACCTATGCTGATCTTGTGTCCAGTGTCAGTCCCACCTCTTCTATGATGCCTTCCCAGGCAACGGCAGTCTTTCCAGGTGTTGCTTCTCCTGGGTTTTTCCATAGCACTTAAAACCTGTACAATTTAGACTTTAACTAAATATTATCTAAAAAAGGTTTACTGTTGTTTGATGTGCCTTTGTTTGCTTTCCAACTTAGTTTTTAATTTCTCAAAGACTTCCTAGGCTGCATACACAGTAGGTGATTTGTGAATACTTAAGGAACTATTCTGGCATCCTGGGTTATATAAGATGGACAAACAATAACACTGAGCTGCGGCACAGAATGGTGGGGAATCTTGGACCAGAGGGTGGGGAAGGTAGACTGGGGCTATATAAATTAAAGGATTATAATGTCGTCCAAGAAGTGTAGATTGTATCTGTAAGTCCTTGTAAGTATTTGAGAATTGAATGAGAGGAGTTCTAATTCAGAAGGATATACCTGGCTGTGTTGTGAATCACATCAATGGAACAGGGTGAGAGACTGGGCTTTGTACAGCCATAGCATTTGTCCTCATTTGTTTCTGTTACAGTGGGAAATGTTTTACTTTTGTTGTTTATTTAAATCCAATGGCACGCCCTGGCTGGTTTGGCTCAGCGGTTAGAGCATTGGCCTGCGGTCTGGAGAGACCCAGGTTTGGTTCCCGCTAAGGGCACGTACCTCGGTTGCAGTTTGTCCCCGGCCCTGGTTGGTCGTGCGGGTGGCAGCCACTTGATGTGTCCCTTTCACGTCAATGTTTCTCTCTCTTCTCTCTCTCCCTCCCACTCTATCTGAGCAAAAAATGGAAAAATGTCCTCTAGTGAGGATAAAAAAACAACAACAAAAAAAATAAATCCAATGGCACACACCCAGCACAAAAATACACACAGTGCTAACAGTCAAGGCAGACTGTTCCAGACTGTAGAATTTATTTTTTATCTTTTAATTAAATTTATTGGGGTGACATTGGTTAATAAAATGATATAGGTTTCTGGGATACAGACTCTGTAGGATTTATTATCCAAAATCCCAAAGGGCCAATAAAAAGACAAATTAATTATAACCAAGATTAAGAGCTATTATTCACATTAATAAAATACACTGCTGAAGTTGCAAAACTGATGTTTGGAAAGAAAAACCAATTTACCCAATGTGAGCAACAGTAGGAATTTTTATAGTTCAAGACTGTTCACTTTTGGAGGAGGGAGAAGAGAAAAAAAAAAAAAATATATATATATATATATATATATATATATATATATATATATATAAATAAAATAACTTCTCAATGAATTTGCTTTACATGGCAAGAAAAAAGCTGTTAGTAGAATTCCTTACAGGCATGTAACATCATTTTACTGTCTTATCTTTTAAGACCTACATACTCTCTGTCCTATTCTCAGTGTTTGTTTGTTTTTAAGTAAATGAGAGAGTCATTCAGCTGATATTCTCGTAAGTAGAAATAAGGAGAAAACACTCACTAAGACTACTTATTAGAGAAGAGGGGGACACCATCAGAAGGGAAGGAATCAAAGACTCTCTTCACCAAAGCAAATGCTTCACTCTTAAGCTAAAGCAATTGTGATTAACTTCTAAGAAAGACTAAGATTTACCTATAATCACAAATAATAAAATTAGCAGTCATGTGTGTCTGACAGAATAGGGATAAAACACCTGAAGAAGAGAACACTAACAAAATGTGGGGTTAGGAGACAATGTTTCCCTGAGGAAGGCGTGTTTCAATTAGTATCACCACTGACTGCTTCAGAACACTCAAGACGTCCGAGGTCCTGGAAACCAACAGCACCCGTGCTCTGCTTATATAAATGGAGCTGTGCATTCCCTGAAAGTTAACAACCAGGAAAGGCATGGCATGTTACATCTCTTCTTATGTGAAAATAAGTTACCATTTATGACTTTCTCTCTAATCCTTGGAGCACCCCTGAAGATACAAATACCCCCTTTATAGGTTGGAAAAACAAAAAACCTGTCCTGACTTCTCAGCAAGTAGCAGCTGAGCCAACTTCTGAAATCAAATCTTATTGATGTCCAAGCCCATGCAGTGGATTGGAAAGAATGAGTGTGAATTTTATGGGGAAAACAGAACTCCAGAATAATTAAAGAAAATAGACGTAATGGAAGAAGAGGCCAGAGGCCCAGCCATCAACTGCAGAGAGAGAACCAACTTACCAGCATATTTTGTAGTGTTAGATTCATCCATGGACCAAAAGCAATAATCAAAGGCAAATACCTGAATAAAAGAACAAAATATTAAACTTAAAAATTAATTAATTTCTATGAGTAAATCAGACTGAAAAATAAAAAATCATTGATGAAGGTGAGGATCCCTGCTACTGTCTGAGTTTTAAAAAACCACCATAATGGGTTTGATGCTTTGTGAACCCTGAAGTTTCTTTTAAACTGATGGTTATCCTCTTATATTAGATTGTTATATATGAAAATTGCTATCTATCCAGCCATATTAACCAACATTTTAAAAAAGGATACATTTAGGGAGAAAAAACAATGACTTCTCTCCCAAGTCAACAACTCCAGCATCTGCTGTAACCCTGTGGTTGGCTGTCCCACAGCTTCCCAAGAAAGGCTAAAGCAATCAACTTTCATTTAAACCAGTTCCCCCTAACTTTCCATGACCCTACCATTCTAGCATAGCCAAAGCTCAAAAGTTTCCACACTGCCATCTTGGACACCATTCCTTCTTCTGTTTCAGCATGCAGTCTTGGACCCAGTGTTAATAAATCAATAATTCACTTCTCCATGCATTAATTTTCTATATAGCTACTGAATGCCTACTGTGTTATCACGAATGGCTGATGCTGCCTCCCTAAGGGGCCTCATCTAATCAATGTTTTCCGTGCATAAGCCCATCACTCCGGCCATCATCAAATGCATAGGGCAACATTCCCTCAAGTGTGCTTCAAGGAACAGTATTTTCATGAGATAGTCCATAAAAAAAGATTAAATCATGTTAGAAATGGTGTACATTTTGCCCTGTTTGAAATTCTCAACATTAAAAGCTCTGAAAAGTCCTCCAGCTAATAAATCCATTTAATTGTTTAACTTTTTATCTCTCTAATTAATTTTGGTGAGGAGACCTTTTCTTCAGTAATACCTGTTAACATGCCTTGAAACTAGCATTTCTCATTATACCTACCTCTTGGCTAACTCTGGCCCAGATGACTCAGCAACCACTTTCCTGGGCTCCTTTTTACAGCCCCACCCCCACCCCACCCCCTTATAGTCCAAATAGCAAATTACAAACCTTCCATGGATGGGGATTCTTTAAAGCATAATCATTTCCAAGAGATCTTAAGCTCTGAGCAAACGGAACCCAAGCTCTTTGACCTGGCATTTGAGACTGGCCACCAAAAGTCCTTTCCAGCCTATGTCCGCCAACTTCTGCTTCAGCTGAGCTCATCAGCACCTTGGAGTTACAATCCCATCTCTGTCAGTGTTTTCTTCATTTCCACCCTTCAAAATGCTTCATACTACTTAAGGCCCTATTCAATATATTCTTCCAGGAAGCATTCCTTGGTTTAATTCACAGGAATTAGCTCTCTCTTCTCTAAACTCTCACAACACTGTTTAATGCTTTTGTGTGACACCTATCCCAATTACTCGATTTTTCACTGATCATGTGTATCATCTGTGCATATATGTTTTATCTGCACTAGTAGACTGAATTCCTTGAAAGCAGGAACCATACCTGATTCATATTTGTATCCTTCAATGTTCATAGTAATTGCTTTATACTTATTTATTGAATGATTAATGGCACTGAGACCTGATAGGAAAGCAGGTCCTTTTCCATCATCAAAAGATTAAGCTAGATTCTGAATAGTTTCAGCACTACATATACTTCAATGCTTTTAAAACTGATTTAGGTATGCATACAACTTAGATTATCAATCTCAAGTCCACATTCAATTTTGTTACTTATACAAACATTCACTCTGGCCTTACAATAAACAAGGCTAAAATGAACAGCTATGGAACAATAGTTCCAGCCAACAGAGTGTGGAGTATTTACTGCATTCGGAAGGCTGTTCCAATGACTGGAGAGACCACACAGGCATAATCCAGTTAATCATCCTGCCTCGAGGCAGGACTGAGCTTCAACACTTTGCCTGAGAGATGAAGATTTGTCTTGGTTTTAAACATTTCCAGAAAAGGAGATTTCACAACCTCTTTTCAATGGCATCTTATAACAGTGTTCATTCCCAGGACATTTTCCCTTCTTTTTCACCTAAGTCAACTCTCCTTACTTTAAATGATCAATAGAGGCAATTTTCCCATTTTTATGTATCTTTATTGGTTTCCTCTAGAGTCTCAATGAACTCCTCTTTTTTAGAATGCTCACCCCTCAAACCAGTCATGGCTATTACTGTACTAGACATTTATCAGTAAGAAGGCCGAAGCCCAGTAATCTGAGGGATTTCCCTAAAAACTCAAAGCAAGTGAACAGGAAAAACTGGTGTAATTTTTTTTAATGCAAGCCACAGGTGGTCACCCCTTCTGTGAACTTCCACGGCACTCTAGTTTCCATGGCACTAGTTCACACGGTGTTCAGTGTGGTCTCATCTCCACTCTAAAAGAGAAGCCCTTAGGGGCAGGGACTTCAGCTCATGCCCTTCATAGTGCCTGGTGGGTACCTCATACAGAGCAACTGCTGAACGTAATATTTCTTCAATAAATAAACATAATACCAGGAGAAGGAGTTGGAATGCAGACAAGAACACGGAATGGATGTGAGAACTGTTATGAATAAGCATAAGTTCAAACTGCAAGTTATATTTTTAGGTATTTCATTACTTTCAGATGCATGTTTTGGGGGAACTTGGTTCCATCAAACGTTCAATACAGATTTGGTCACAGCATAGCACCTGGGGTCCTCTTTGGCACCATTATTCCATGGTTCATGCGGAGAAACAAGTCTAGCCACGTCATGTGTATAGTTTGCACAGATATGAAAACAATTATTTGACTGCTGCAAGGATAATTTTAGTTATGAATGTTACTAAAAGAGTTCCAAAGATGTTTAAAATAATTTCGTCTTATTGTTTTGTCTACTTTCCTTGCAATCTTGTTATTATAAACTATTCACAAAATATTACCTTTCTTTTCAGGGCCAATTTTACTTATAGTTCAATCACAAAAGGTTTATAACAAAGGGGAACATGATTTTCTTAGGTTTTGCAGAAGTCTTTGTTTTCCAATACAAAAATCCACTGATATTTCAGAAGAGATAACAAAATTATTTTCTTGAGAGTTATTCCTTGAAAGCTGACCACTTCAAATAAAAAGAAATTTTTTCAAAGCCAGCATATGATGTTAGAGAAATATGTTAAATAAGACTTCTAACTTGTTTCATAAGAATTCCTAAATCCTTATTTCATCTTCTATTATGGAGTCACTAGTATCTTAACTGGAGGGTGGGAGACGGGGAACTTTTTAATGCATACAGCTGAGTAAAAAATAAATCAAATTAGGAAACCATAAATTTCATATTTCATCAATACCAATCAGCACCGTGAGAACTCTATTTGTAAAGGCATCCATACCTTCTGAGAGCCTTCAACCAGAACAAGAGCTACAAGTACAGATGCTCTTCAGTTGTTTTTAAAATTGGAAAGCCACTGTCTTCAATAAAATATGACTCCACCTTCTCAGAATTCCACTCTTTCCTCTTCATTTGCAACTTGTAGAATTCATACCAGCATTTAATTCCCTGCAGCTTGCCTTCCACATCTGCTCCACCTTCATCACTCTTGAAAAATGTTAGCTCTGCGTCTTTGTGAACCACTGAACAGCTAGCAAAGTTACTACAAGTTGTTTTTAATAAGGCAAATGTGTTGAGTGATATGTATTCTGAGGCAAAGGAGTTCCAGGGCTTAGGAGCCGGATGCAGCACAGCCTAACTCCACTCTTATCTGAAAGTCCAATCTCTGATGGCATTTCAGCAAAATTCAATTTACAACTTTAAAAAAAGAAAGAACGAATCTTCACATTCCTTGAAGAACCAAAAGGCATCAGTGTTCAAAGAAATGTGATCTGGTCATCATTTTCCTGATGCATAAAACTAAATATAAAGGTACTACCTCTGTTTCCTCCCTCCCTCCCTCCCTCCCTCCCTCCCTGTATGCCTTCTCTATCACGTTCTCCAATTGTAAAATGTTTAATTCAGAAACCAATCAACAAATACCTATTTGCCATTTTTCTCAATTTTAGGTATCTTAGGGAACTCAAATATGTATTAAGCATTTTTTTGTTGTTGCTCTCTAGTTGCTTAGGATCTAGTTGAAAAGACAAAACATAAAACAATTATTTTTTAAAATAAAAACGTACATTTTTCAAAATCATTTTAATTCCTCTCACAGCCCTTTTCCAGGCAGAAAGTGATTCATCCAATACTACTCTATAGATAATTTAACTGTATTCAAAGAAATATTTCCAAGCATACACATCAGATTTTTTGTGAAGTGGGTCAAAGCCTACTTACTCCCTTTCAATTTGTCCTTATTAAAATCTTCCAATGTCATCTCAAATGTCACTCTCTTGTGAAACCTGTCTTTAGGACACTACTTATTACTCTGAATTTCATACCTGTCTAACTAGATTATGTGTGTGTGTGTGTGGGGGGTCCCCTTTGTTCTGCTACGTTATTAGTTCTTAGAGGACAAGATCATGGTTTTCCCAATGTTTTCATTGTCCATAATTCCACCAAACAAAAATACTCTGAGAACGTATTTTTAAAGCAAGTTCTTGGTGAACTACCTTTTAGTGACATGATCTAGTAACATTATGCTTTCACGTATGGTGACTGCTTAGAACGGCGCACACGGGGGTGTGAATTCTTGGCAGCACTGCGATGGAGTGGATGGCACCAGTACTTTGTCAACATATCCCTTTTCACATTTGCAGAAGTGACGAGACTGGTGTCAGCCTTCAGACATTATTTGTGTTCACCAAATTCCACTCTTTTGCTAAAAAGACAGAAGAAAGCGCCCATATTTATCTATGTATTATGTCTAAAGTCAGCCATCTCTCCGGCTCTGAGAACTTCCACCAATGACCAAGAAATCTTATGGGGGTATTAAGCACAGAGGGACGGCCAGGGTCGGGGGGGGGGGGGGTTGGGGGAGAAAACACAGACACCTCAGGGACTCCCTCCTTCCTGCAATCTCCCTCTCCTCACTTCCCTGCCCAGTGAGCTACATACAAATCATTCTT